GAAAAATCTTCATTAATAAATTTTTATATAATACTACATATAGTTTTGATTTACATAGTATACCGACCACCCCAATGCCACATGGCATGCCATGCCAAATTAATTTGTGCGTGCCTGGTCAGCTTGCATAATGCGCATGCTGCGCAGCCTGCGCAGTGGATCCGAATCATATAAGTATACTATATAGAAGTTTAGTTCAAAGTTAGCATTAGTTGTTTCTGCCAGATAATGTCTTCACATAACAAAAAGAAACACCATTATGAAACGCCACTTGTAAAACTGTCAAAATCCTTATCATATGTCCTTCGTCACCATGCTAAAGACGAAGGTCTAAATATTCGTGAGGACGGTTACGTCAAATTAGACGATTTGGTATGATTCAACTAAATTTACTAAAATTGGCTTTTCTTCGTGTTTTATCCGAGTAAAAATTTATTCAATGCATTGTTCTTACGGGATCAGTTGAAATTACCGAGATTCAACGGAACGACTTTTGAAAATATTAAATTCGTTGTTGATAACAATGATAAAAAGCGGTTTACTTTGACGCAAGAAACATCAGATGATGGAATTTCCTCGTGGTGGATACGAGCAAATCAAGGGCATAGTATTGAGGTATTATCCTTTATTTACTGCTTTTTGAATTTTTTTCTCAACAATTTTATAATTTGTAGGTGAAAAATTTGGAGCTCGAAGAAATCACGGATCATTTGCAATTTTCAGAAATAATACATGGAACATATTTGCGCAATTGGAAAAATATAGGTTTATTTTATTGTGATTAGCCATTGCTGCATTTTTTTTTTTTTTATTATCAAGTTAAATTGACATTATATTGGTAGAATCACAAGGCCTTTCAAGGATGAAGCGCAACCACATTCACTTTGCTTCTGGGCTATTTGGAACCGAAGGCGTTATAAGTGGTAAGTATTATTGACGTATACTTATAACTTGGTAGTCCTTTAATTTCAATATATATTCTTGTTAAAAGGTATGAGAAAAAATTGTGACTTGTTCATATATATCAATGCTCCAAAGGCTATGGAAGGTTTGTATTTATTTCATAGTCGTTCTTAAAAACTCAATAAATTTTCTCATTTTTTTTAACAACATAATTATAAAAGATGGCATTAGGTTTTTTAGATCAGCTAATGGAGTTATATTAACAGAGGGTGTTAATGGATTTCTGAATCCAAAATATTTTTTAAAAGTTGTTGATCAACATGGGAAAGTCATTAAACAAGCCATTTCGTAGTCTAATTTAATAAAAAGATATTAATTAATTATATACTAAAATAGGTTCTAATAAGTGCATAAATTAGATATATAATGCTTATCAAAATTGAGTAGTAGAAAAAAACTGGTAAACAAAGAGGATAAAAAAAAAAAAAAACTTTATATATGTAGTGCTTCAAATTGAAATTGTTTCAATTCGCAATTGGACCGTCCCCGATAAAAATTTCTCTTTTCTTTTTTTGCCAAATTAGGGTTTTAGAGTTAGGGTTAGAATTAGAGTTTACAACAAAAAATTTAAAGGTTTATCAGTATAATTTGAGCCAAAATTACAAAATTCTTATCTGAGACTACATTTTTATTTGGAGCATAAACATAAGGAATATGAGGGTATTGTGGTCACCTTTAATATTATAACTAATAAAATATGATCTAGTGATTAGAATTAAATAATTTTAATATTATTAGATTTGTCTATTAAGATGAATCAAATAATGTTAAAATTATTAACTGTACCAAAAAATATAATTACTCTAACAATTATTATAAAAAACTAAAATATTGGATAGGTGGGAATATTGAGATCAATTTTTTGGCAGCGAATAACTTCTGATTCACCAGTTCATTTTGGATGATTTTGCCACCAAAATGACCAGTTCAGTGAGACGATTCTAATGAGCCCAAAATTATTAAAACCTAATCACGGGATCCCGAGATCGTTAAGGATTTATTTACATTATGACAAATCTATATGGACCCGTGATTGGATTTTAACAATTTTATACTCGTTAAAATCGTCTCATTGAGACGGTCATCTAATCGTAAAAAATTATTCAAAACGGGCTGATGCATTTAGTGTCAAAGATTTTATATATTTTTAATAAGTTTAAATATATACAAAAATTTATATTATGATATCTTTTGATTTAGCAATAAGAATTAGATGATTTTTATATTATTAGATTTGTTTTTAAAAGACGAATTAAATAATTTAATTCTAATTATTAGATCCTGAGATATTAAGATTGATCATAATTTTTCTTCTGTATAATAGATTGTTACTAGTTTAATCAAGTTACAAAAGATAATGGTTATCTAATATAATTATAGCAAGGAAAAAGGTCAGGGTTTATATATCTTTTTCTAATTATTAAAACTGATAGAAATAATAAGAAACAGTAAAAATAATAGAAATAGTAAAAATGATAAAATAGTTAAAACAGTTAAATATAGTAATCTAAACTATATTACTTATATGTAAAGTATAGTTTTTTTTATTATTAATAAAACTATCAAAAATATTTTAAACTATCATTCTATATATGGTGCAGGAAGTCTTAACTCTCCGATATAATAGATGATCTTTAAAATTTATTAACTCCTTAAAAAATTAAAATTTTAAAAAACTAACCAG